CCTGCTGATCATATCACTGCCACAGTCGTACTCACTGGGCCTTTCTTTATTATATTCATGTTGTCGTGCTGCTGTCCAGACCGGACAAACTAAAAGGTAGTGTGACTTTTATTCAGTGGTTCCCAAAGTATATGGAATGACTGATTTTCTGTCAAAAAAGAAGAAAGTTATAGAAATATACCACTGGAAAATATGAGACTCATCAATTTGTTTTATGTTAATTGTTCCCCACATCATTGTAAAACGCAGCTACATAAAGTCTGTGACAGTGTCACAGTGTAATGTGTGTTTCTGTCTGCAGCCGGTCGTGAGGCTGATGATGTGGTGTGAAGATGGAGGCTCCTGAATACCTGGACCTGGATGAGATCGACTTCTCCGATGATTCAGTGGTAGGTGACACAATGAACAGATGCATACACTGCTACAAACTGATGTATACTAGCTACACCCAGCTAGGGCTGCCCCCTAATAGACCTGCAGTAAACCCTACCTGCATGAAGGTTACGGTGTTCAGTCTTTGTTTGAACTGGTGATTCTAATATTTTGCCCACAAGCCAATTTATATCAACAAGGATTAGAAACAGTTTCAACAAGAACATCATGACCTTCATGAAGGGAGGATTTACAGTGACTGTGTTAGTTTTAGCTTGGTGTATAAAGCTGAAAACTGAGTGTTTGATTACACAGCTGTAACCTGCAGCTGCCTCACTGCTTCATGTTACAGTCTGTCTGTCTTAAAGCAGCATAACTTCTGCTGCCGTTAACTGATACCTGCAGTAAATGTAGCTGCTGTGCACAGCTGCTGTGTACAGTTTCACTCTCACTCTTTGTTTTCCTCTCTCGTCCTGCAGTATTCTGTGACGTCTCTGAAAAGCATCCCAGAGCTGTCCAGGAGGAGTGATGGCCAGGCCGAGGACAGACCAGGTAACTAGAACCGTAGCCTAGTTAGACTTTATATTCTGTTTGTAGACCTCAGCAGTTTAGAACTTGGTGTCTTCCACTACTTTATTTAAATCTCTGTGAAACCTCGTCTGATCTGTCATCATCTCTCCTCCTCCTGCAGCTCCATCCATCACCTGGAGTCGTGGCGTTTCCTCCCACAGCAGTGGGGGAATCAAACCCACGGGACTCGCTGAGGTCCACAGTAAGTTCCGGCCAGTGAAGAGGGTCTCCCCTCTCAAACACCAGCCAGAGACCACCGACTGTGACACTGATGGTAAAGTCCAGGGCCAGGGGCTGGGCCTGGGAGAGCCGGGTGAGGCCAGTAAGGATGGCCCCAGCTCAGACAAGCCGATTCACGCCTCCACCTCCTCTGACGGACTGGGAGGGAAGGCGAAGGGCCTGGGCAGCAGCGTGGGTGTTGTTGGAGGCAGCAATCCCCAGGCTCTCTTCGGGGAGCTGGAGCACTATGATCTGGACATGGACGAGATCCTGGATGTGCCTTATATCAAGTCCAGTCAGCAGATGTCCACGCTGCCCCGTGTCCCCCACGACAAGCGCTCGGTGATGGGGAGCAACCTAGGCGGAGGCACCCTGGAGAGGAACCGAGGAAGCCTGAAGAGCTCTGCTTTACGCCACAACGAGCCTCTGAGCTTGGGCAGCAGCAGCTCTCAGACTCAGGTACACACTGAAATCCCTTCTACACTGCCAGGGTGACCGAGTAGGAAAACATGATGTGGAAATCCGAGTGTATGGAGTTTTAAATGAACATTTAGTAATGAATAAACTATTCAACAGCAATGTCATGACTCGAATTGAAAAGTCACACACTTGTAATTCATGTGTGTCCCCCAGTACTGTGTTCTGTCTCCGGTGAAGTGGTCAGACCTGAGGAAGTCCAAGTCCATGGACCCAGACCTCCACCACCTCCACCGCTCACCGGCTGGGGGAGGCTACCAGCCAGAGCCACTGTCCTCTGGGCTCCTCAGCTGCTCCTCCTCCCTCTCTTCTTTCTCTGATACAGGTGTGAGTTAAGAACACTGTCACCGTGTCTTCTTCTCTGTTTTCCTCTTGGTTAACACTGTATGAAGATGTCATATCCTGTCTGAATGATGACTTCCAGACAAGCTGCTGTCTGCGCGGGTCTACCCAGACTCCCAGAGCCAGAGGCCAGGCGTGGAACCTCCTGGGGGCCTGATGTTCCCCCTGCCAGGATGCAGCGTGGGCAGGCAGGATGGCTCTAAGCCTTGGGCTTCTGGACCAGGAGGAGGAGGAGGAGGAGGCGGTGGTAGTCTGAGGGGGTGTGGAGGAGCAGGGGGGGAGGTGGATGAGGAGACCAAGAAGAACCAGAACATCATCAACATCGTTAGGGAGGGACAGATCTCCCTGCTGGTGAGTGGGAGGCCTTCGGATGCTGAAGGAACAGGAGGCATGTCTCCTCTGGCTTCAACTTCTTTGTTTTCTTATCGTCCTTCTCACACTTGTCTCCTGTTTCCCCCCTCCCTCCTTGACCTCCCTCCTTCCAATCACTCCTCCTGTTTCTCTTCTGCCTGTTCTCCTCCACCTCCTCTTCCTGCAGCCTCACCTGGCAGCAGATAACCTGGAGCTGATCCGAGACGAGGATAGAAACAACCTGCTGCACATCTCAGCCTCTCAGGGTCATGCAGACTGTCTGCAGCATCTCACATCTCTGATGGGGGAGGACGGCCTGAACGAACGCAACAACCAGCAGCTCACCCCCGCTGGCCTGGCGGTCAAGGTCAGTCTGTGATTACATGTTTACTCCCGTTGTGACTTGTTTACATGAAGGCCTGGGGAAGATGTTAGTAATTAAATGGTGTCTTCAGTTTTGCTCATATATGATGGATAGATATGAAGACGTTCGATTACTCGTTTACTGTAGAAGTCCTCAGGAACACATCCACAGTCTCTATGAAGCTGAGAATGTGAAGTTTGACATAGATTTTGACTTAGGGTGCATTTTAATCTACAGGCAGACACAGATCCTCGTAGGCAGCTGTGACTCCTGCAGTGTGCTAGTTTGCTAGCCATGTAAGGTTTGCCACAGCTAAACAGGAAACTGTGCTGCTGACGGCTCTGTGCTAGCAGGACCCAGCCGCTAACACACCAGCTCAGTCGCTTCCACGCTGAAATGTTTTCTGTTAGTAGTTTGTGCCATTTCTTTAACACGTGACTCCTTCTTTTCAATCTTTTCCTCCGTTGTTAAATTGCCAGTCAGTGGTGTCGTTCCAGATTTAACAGACCAAGACATTTTACTGGCTTGGGTTGAGTAATCATTTCATCGTTCATACTAATGCCAAACATAGATGTATCTGTCTTAGTGTTGTACTTGTGCTTTAAAAACTGACCTTCTGAACGGGCCAGCACTGGGACACAACACTCACATATCATATGGAATCGTTAGACAAAGTAAACGTTAAACAAATAGAAGCTTAGAAGCTCCATGAGATCCACGAGAGATCTTTGCCATTTTCATATGAACTTTATTATTACTGTGCGACTCCTTCAGTACCTCAGCTATGCACTGACTCTGCCTGATCTCCATATCTTTGCTCCTGTACAGCTGAAAATGGCAGAAATCAGCCTAATCTCCTGCAGTTTTCCAGGCTTTTGATTGGCTGCCAGAGAGGAAGTGCGTTATCTAGAGACGAGCTGGGCAGCTGTGCTTATTCCTGACTGGATCTTATCAGGAGCCCCTTGTTTATTCCCTTAGATTAATGGGATGACAGAGTTCCACCCACCTGGTCCTCACTGAAGCATGTTAACTGTGGCTGTTTGTTGCAGAACGGTCACCTGGAGTGTGTCAGGTGGATGGTGAGTGAAACGGAGGCCATCGCAGAGCTGAGCTGCACCAGAGAACACCCAAGTCTGATTCACTACGCTGCCCGCTATGGACAGGTAATATGTACACATACACAGATTCATCTACCCCCCATTCTTCATCAACTGCCTGATAACAGCAAAAATCACAGACACAAAAACTTAAAAAATGGACAGCATCTTATGGTGATAGTTTGAGATGAAAAACTGCAGGATGAACCAGATATCACAGCAAAGATGTTTCACTAAAAACCACAAAGGGTGCACTAGAGGAAAAGCCGAAGTTTACATCTTCTTGGGACCATGAACGTCTGCACGAAATGTCCTGGCAGCTCATCCAGCAGTGATTGAGACATTTCAGTCTGGACCAGAGTGGTAGACAGGTCTACTGCTAGTGTGGCTAAAGAAAGGTGCGACATTTTGTGTCCCACTTTAGTTACTACTGTAATTTCCTTTGAAGCCACAGAGCAGAGAAATGCCAATACTGACTACTAGAAGCCAGCAGGACACAGACCAAGCCAGTGTGTTCAAGGAAAAAGCCATAACACCCCTGTTGTGTATATGTAAAGTCCTCGATATGCTTCAGAAGTGGGCTGCCTGACTCAGCTGGTCATCTCTCTGTGTTAAAAGCTGTCACATCATGCTTTCATGGAATCTGATCTTCACATTGAGCATCCACGGTGTCTGTGTGCATGTGTTTGGTGACTGGACTGTGGCTGTGTTTTGTAACATGAATAAAACATCCCTTTCTCTCTGTCTGTCTCTGCAGGAGAAGGTCTTGTTGTGGCTGCTTCAGTTCATGCAGGAACAAGCGATCTCTCTGGATGAAGTTGACCAGAATGGAAACACTGCTGTCCACGTAGCAGCTCAGTACGGACACCTCACCTGTATACAGGTGTGTACTGCTGGGAAGTAACGGTTGTTACCAACAGTGTCCTCTGTCTTCTCACAGCGTGTTGTGGTGTGTTCCATTAGATCGTTCCCTGCCAGCGTCACATAAATCACTTCAGTTTTCAGACTAATGGAGGGAGAACAATGTGGAAAACCCATATCCGAATCCTAACATGACCCCGAACCTGTCGGTGAGAGCGCTCTTTGCTTAGCTTGTCTGTCCCGACATCCAAAAAGGTTGGGAACCTCTGGTAGAGACCAGATGGTTACTTGATCATGAGATTAACCAACAATGAAAATAACCTTTATTTTTCCAAGGTGGTGTGACACTCCAGATGTTCTGTTTTTCAGGAACATCAAACTTTAGCTGCTCTATCACAACATTCATTTCTTACAAATGTGCTTCTTACAGCGTGACGCTCATGTTGCTGCCGTGGAAGCTGAGTGCTTTAATCCTGGTAATGTAGGTGGCACACCCTGCTGAAGGCAGATGTTATCAGTCCTGTCTGCTTCCTGCTGGCCAGCCAGGCCACCAGTCAAAGTACTGATAGCTCTGACAGAGCTGTTCTCAGTAAGGAACAGCTGCCAGTAGACCTGGCTGTGAACATAAAGTTTCTGGGTTGAACCCTGTCCTAGAAACAAGTGTCAGCATGTCCAGATGCTCACCACGTACATCCAGACCTCAGCAGTAGTGGTTTAACTCTGTGTTTCCAGACTCTGGTGGAGTACGGCTCCAACGTGACAGTCCAGAACCAGCAGGGGGAGCGGCCTTCCCAGAGTGCCGAGCGGCAAGGACACACCACCTGCGCTCGATACCTGGTCGTTGTGGAAACCTGCATGTCGTTGGCTTCGCAGGTTGTTAAACTCACTAAACAGCTGAATGAGTAAGTTATAGTATCTTTACTGTTGAAGTGTCAGTGTTAGTAGCAGTTAATGTTTCAGTAGCTGTTGCTGTTTAATTCATTTCATATTTAATTAGAGGATGAACCTCAAGCGCACACACCAAAAAGAAATATATTTATATAAATTACCAAACGTTTAAACAAATGTAAATACAGGATAGGAATGATAATAAAATAATCCAAGACGTTATTATCCTACATCCTGCAGATGTCACAACTGTTATAGGTTTTTTTAAGCTGCAGTCCTAACTGGCACATCTGTACTGCTGTCAACATACACACATCTACTGGTTGGAGAGAGTTTAATGAAAATAGTCTTAACATTCATTATTCCATAGTTGTAGTGTATTTTTCCAAACATTTGGTTGGCGCTTGTTGACACAATCACAGCTTAAGGATCCTGTTTCTGCCAGAATACCGGCAACTTGTGCTGCCTCATTTCTCTCTTTGCAGCTCTTCTCTCTCTATCTTTGGTCTAGTCTTAACATAAAACTTCTGACATCAAACGTAACCCACAGCTCAGGCGCTCTGCACCAAAGGCTTTTCATCAGTGCTTTTCAAACATCTGAAGTGTGTTTTATGATCAGATGATCAACCCAAATACACGTCTTTTATATCATTCAGTAACTTGTTAAAAACAACCTAACCAGACAAATGACCACTTCTGGGAAAATGCTATTTGACTTGTACTTATTTTTATTTTGGCTCCTCCCCTCTCTGCTAACATGGAGGGGGTGGTTTTTATGACCTGTACTGCAACTAGCCACCAGGGGGCGATCAGCTCAGAGTGGCTTCACTTCTGGCAGCTGTCGTGTCATCCATTTAGAGTCAGTGGCTCACATTGTCCACGGCCAGAAGCATTTTTAGGCTCTTTAGTCTTTGTTCCACCTTAGTGCACAGTGAGTGTGTTGAACTCATTGTGTGGATGAATGTGTCCAATGTAGGTGCTGACCGAGGACTGAGGCTGCTGCTGACACCGGGTGTAGTGTAAACATGGTGTTACTGGCATTTTCAACATCTCATCTCTTGTTGTTGAAGTGTGAATTCAGGCTGATGGTGCCAGTGTCAGTCAGCGTTCATCCTGCTGTGTGTTTGTGGTGCAGACAGGCAACAGAGAGGATGGCCCTACAGAAACAACTGCAGAGACTGACGGACCCCAACAAGGCAGAGGGAACGCCTTCCAGATCGCCCAGGTACCACACACACACACACACACTGAACCCCCTTTGTACACACTCGGACACTCCTCCTACATGTTTCTCCATGGAGTCGTAAATTATATTACTTTTATGATGTTGGGGCTCAGGGTATTTTTACACCACAATAAACTCTTGTCTACTGACAAGAAGACATTTATACAAAACCACTAAGTAAAACATGCACAGTTGACACCGCGGTAGTTGTCACTTCCCACAATGCACCAGCATCAACGCCGCTGAGATTGGAAAGTAGCGATGATAACCCAGTGATAATTTCCCACAAGATCAACTCAGACTTGTTTAAACCGTGAACTGAACAGTGGCAGCAGCAGTAATACAAACAAGCGTTCACAGCAGTGTCCAGGTGAGTAACACAA